AGCACTTTCTTACTTATCGATCTCATAGTGAGCACATTCTTTGCTATAGATATCATTATCACTTTCTTCGTAGCTTATTTGGATTCTTCAACATATCTTCTCGTCGATGATCCAAAAAAGATAGCAAGGAGGTACAATCTCAGCTGTTAATTCTTACGGGCTTCTAATTTTCAACTAAGTGGTCTATTTAAGTATCTTCAAATTTTTTGTGTTAAATTTTAGGTATTTGATTAGTCCATGGTTTGTGATGGATATGGCTTCGACTATACCATTTCAGTTTATATACCAGATAGTGAGTGGCAATAAGATCGGTGGTTCTTTCTTTGCATATGTAGAACTCTTAAGGCTCTGGCGGCTTATGCGAGTTAGCGATCTCTTTGCAAGGTGAATCCACTTTCATAATTCAGCGGTTCATTTATATACATGATCATTCTTATAATTAACCTTGTTTTTCGAAATGCTTAAATTTAGAGCGCTTTTTACTGTGTAGGTAGCATAGGTGATTATCAGTAGTATATATCAATGTTTTTGAGGTGTAGAGTTTTATAGTTGTTCTAGTTCCTTTGAATTGATACATGGTGTAACTTGTATATGCACACATAGAGACATTAACATACATTTATATATAATGATAAGATTATAATACTGGTGTAACTTGTATATACACACATAGAAACATTAACATACATTTAGAGAGATGATAAGATTATTATACTGACGTAACATAAGATTTTACACCTCAATGTAAAAATCATGTCCACACATTCAAAAATACATGCGTATCAAAAATCACATACATGAGAAATTGCCATCCAACAAATCAAGCAAATTAATCAAAATAACCTTTTTTTAAAAACAATTCAAAGGTTCAGATTTTAATGCTTGTTATATATGCAGGCTGGAAAAAGACATGAGGTTCAGTTATTTCTGGACACGATGCATGAAGCTCATATTTGTAAGTATATACCCCATATAAAGATAATTTCTCACAAAAATAAAAAATATCGTTATTTCAAACCAACCAAGAATACTGAATTCAAATGTGAAATCTATTTTCAGGTGACATTGTTTACAATACACACAGTAGCCTGTACATTTTACTGGATGGCTGAAAACTATAAACACAAAGCCGATACCTGGATTGGCCATAAGTTTGCAAACTTTGAAGAACGAAGCAGCTGGCTTTGTTATACATATGCTGTTTATTGGTCGATCACGACCCTGACAACCGTTGGATATGGAGATTTGTATGCTGGAAACACTGGAGAAAAAGTATTCAACATCTTCTTCATGCTCTTTAACATTGGCCTTGTTGCTTATGTCATTGGAAATATGACCAACCTCATAGTTCATGGAGCAGTGAGGACACTCATTATGGTATCTCCTATTCTCTTTGCTTAAAAGATACTTGATATCCCAGAGAATTCACACTTTAAGGTTGGATTGAGCTTTAACATAAATATGAGGCGAACAAAAAGAAACCCCCTTCATCTACTTCATCTATACTACTCAAGAAAACCCCTCAGCTGAAAAGTTCAAGAAAAATCACCATATCTACAGGCATTCATGAAACCATTAGTTTTGCAATCGAATTTGGTTCTTCAGATGTCTCGTCACACATCTACATGTGGAATTTTAGCTTAACACAAAAAGATTAGATGTTTTGCTTTATCCGAAAACTATTTTTCCCCCCCACTATACTTTATTCCTTTCAGTTCTTAATATCTGTGAATTTTGAAGTGTGTCTTTTCACACATATACTCAAGTACCGATTTTTCCCAAGAGTTTTAAGAATAAACCCACTTAAAAAATTTAACGGTTTCATTAATGGTCACAGTGGAGAAGATTTTTTAGTCGAACATTTTAGACGAGGGGATTTCTTGAAAACAAGGTATAGAAGAAGGATATTACTTGTCAATTACCTAAATATGATAAGTTCAGTTTAAGTTTTCTCACTGTGTCTTCTAATGTTCAATAAACTACTCAAGAACTGTCCTCTTATTTGGAGCTTGTAGAGAGATACGATCAGTGAAGCTTCATGTTATGCAAACAAGAACAGGCTTTGTGAGGGACTGAAAGAGCAGATAATGGCACATATGCAGCTGAAATTCAGGACAACGGAGTTGCAGCAAGAAGAAGTAATTGCTACCCTACCAAAGGCAATAAGATCAAGCATTTCTCTGCACCTCTTCCAACATATCGTGGAATCATCGTATCTCTTCAAAGGGATCCCTCAAGATTTTGTCATGGAGTTGGTAACCTTCTTTCATTTTTCGATACGTCTTAGTGTCTCTTACTCAGTAACAATGTAATGTTTGGTATTTTGTGCTTTTGCTGCAGGTTACTGAGATGAAAGCAGAATATTTTCCACCAAAAGTAGATATCATACTACAAAATGAGATACCTACAGATTTTTATATCATAGTCTCTGGGGAAGTGGTACGACCCTCTAAGACCTGAGCCTATAGTTTTCTACAACTGAGTTCTAATTATTATTTCAAACATACAGGATGTGATTGCAAATAGCAATGGATCAGATAAGGTATTTCCCACTGACACATCTGCTTCGAAGTAGTGATATCATAGAGTCATGTAATTCTAGACTTTAATAATGCAATAATATTTGGATACAAACATGCAAGATGGTTGATCTCAATTTATGCTGACAATTATGAAAAGAATACGCGACTAAACTTTCAAGTTCATATTTCTCTTCATATTAAGCGGGATGTTAACAAAGCGTCTTTCGCTTTTACCTATGCTAAGTTGTAATTTATGATGCATTATTTCGTCTCATTAACTTATGATGTGGTATTGTGTTGAACATCTATTTTTTTATTCAAGCTACACTGACTTATTCATTAAATTTTTAGTATTTAGAAAGATTAGGACGGGGTGAAATGGCAGGAGAAATTGCAGTGATCCTCAACATCCCGCAGCCTTTTACAGTAAGAAGCAGAAAGCTTTCTCAAGTCTTACGAATAAGTCATCAACACTTTAGCCAGATTGCACAGTCATACATGGGAAATGGGCAGAGAATTGTCTCCAATTTTCTTCAGGTTTGAATCTCAACTCTGTGAACAATTTTAAAATTGGTAAGTTAACAGCAATTATTTTGGGACCTTGAGGAAATAAAATAACTAAGCCAAATTCCTAATTGAGCAAAACTATTTCCACAGGTACTACTATTAAGAAGTAGAGCTTATAGGTCTTATAAGTGAGAAACCGTTTAGTAATTGTACCAATCAGAAAGAATTTAGGAATGCCCCTGAGATTTAAAAAAAAAATCATTTTTTTGGATCAGAATGGAAATAGATAATTTCCAAGAAGGGGTATACCAGTTTAATTTAATATTCCACACAACTGGGGTAATGATTGTTGAACACTTCCCTTCTGATTCAAAATGACAAGTAAACGTTTCACCCTATAATACTGATTCTTTTATCTTCAGTTTTTGAAAAGCCTTAAAGAAGAAACTCTTGAGGAGATACCAATTGTCAGAGAGCTGCTGAACATCGAAGCAGACGAGGTAAATTTTCTGATGAAACTTTTTGCAATCGCTTATGCAACTAAATTGATCGGTAAAGAGGTTTCTTAACACGGAACCTTACCTTAGACTGTGCAAAAAAAAAAAGATTAAATATGAACCAAACAATATTTTTCAATACATGTTGCTTTGATCTCTTAACTCAAAGATTATGGTACCAACAGCTATTGTGATTCTTGTGGACAGAATTCAAGACCAACAAATGGAGAATTACGTGTCAATGGTGTGACTGATGATGATACACAAGGTAAATAAAAATCATTTGTTCCTGCTTTAATTCGTGCATGTAAATATACAACACATCTACAGAAGTCTCATTGTGTTACACTACCTGACTGAATTAGCCAGACTGAATAGATTCCTATTTACGTATTGTTGACCGCATTTGTGAAATTATAAGGATCAAATTTGAGTATAGAATTTACATATGATTTCTATTATTCTAAAGACTGACAGACATCTGAACCAGGACTGATGTGTAATGATAGAAATCGTACGTAGTAAACTAAAATTTCAAAGACATGTACAGTCTTTTGGGAGGGAAATGGAAATCATGTGCAATATTCCACAAATAATGTGCTGTTGAGACCACAACCAGAGATGTGAGACAGGACTAATGTGCAATAATTTCGCAGAAGCGCCAACAACCACTCATCAGCCATTTTTGAGTAGTGTAACCAAGAGAGTAACAATTCATGGACATCATCCCGATGAAGATGATACCACAGAAGGCCCTGCAATGGGGAAACTTGTTCCTCTACCTGATTCAATCGAAGATCTCTTCAAATTAGCTGGTAAAAGCAGTCTTTTAGCTTTCTTTTAAGATATTTTTCACATATATATATATGTACGGTATTTAAAAAAAGTTTAAAACATTTATTGTGAATTGTGTACCTTTGGATGCAGAGAAAGAATTTGGGAAGGTAGCAAGAAGGATCTTCACTAAGGATGGTGCACAAGTCGAAGAATTGTGTATTATTAGAGACAATGATCACTTGTTTATATGTTGAAAGGAGAATGAATTAAGACTTTGTTCGAGATGGCAAGAGGCTACTTGTTTGTGAAGTCCCTACTTCCTCTATCTTTCATAGCGTGTACATTTTGTATCTATTTTTCTAATCGATAAATTTCTTGTGCATCTTGCCCAGATTCCTTTAAAAAAGGACTAAAATCAAAATCTTCATCGTTTGGTGTGAGGAAAAATCTGTAAATTTGTTCTCATATACAGATAACATATGCCTCTACAGAGATAAATTTAGATAATCGGAACTCAATGTATTTACACCCTCTATTTGTTCCTAAAAAAAAGGGTAAAAAAAAGACAAGGCATGTATCTAAGTTTATCCCAACTCCCCGTAAAAAAATAAACACCTCTCTCTCTCTCTCTCTCTCTCTCCCTCCTCCTCCATCTCTCTCTCTCTCTCCACCATCTCTCTCTCTCTTCCCCCCAAGAAGTAATAGCTAGCTTATTATCAAAGGAAACTGAGATTTTAGAATGATATAGGAAATGGCACGAGGAAATGCACTACCAACATCACCACGTTTGGTTAGAAGAGCATCAAATACAGATGACAAGAGCTTGCACATTCTCTTCAGCGGCTTCCTGCCATCAATAGAGCTTAGTATAGATGATGAAGCTTATCCTCGCCTTAACGAAGACGTAATCACACCATTTGATCCTCATTACAGGTAATATATCTATGTGAAGCATACAAACTTGTCTTCTTAATTAATAGGGTTAATTGCATGCAAACCTCCTACACGGTCGTGTTCGCGTTGTGATCGATACTTATTACCCACGAAGTTTGATATTGATAGATACACCTTATTTCTATAATGCGTAATACATATGTAATAACCAAGTTTCAAGTAAAATCATGTTCAGAAAGAGAGAAGAAACAATTTGGAAGTAAACAAACTTATTTCTATAAAACCCAAAGAAATTATGAGGATATCCAGTTTGAACTCTTAAAGTTCTTAGTTGGATGCAGCAACAAAGCAAATCCATTTGTAGGATTCACATCTAGATCCACTATAATATAATCTGCAAATTCGAACCCGAATCAGATCCAGGTTATTGGATTGGCTCCATTATCATCTCATACTCCTTACCGGCCAAAAACAGATGGTCAAAAAATTACAACATATAATAAGCGATTCCTTGTTCAATGGGGTTCAACAAATAGAACATGTGATCCAATGAAGCATAATACAATAAAGGACAATCCACAGGGTTAACACATATATGCTTATACAAAAAGCTACTCAAATTGATCACAACCTCTCTCTTAATCTCTCTTAAAACCTCTCTACAGAACCATAACAAGTATCTAAGTTTTTTTAAAAAAAATTCCGACCCAATAATAAAACCTCCAAGAAAGTCACAAGAGAGACCATGGAGTACTACTACACACAGGACAGGGAAAAAAAAGCCAAAGAAAATGTCCAGGAGCAAACCGACACTCTGATTTGTCCCGCTTCTCTTGGGCTACTAGCCATAGACTTTTACCTGCAAAAAAATAGAAAAATCCCAAGAGATTTTAGTAGACCAACAATAACCATGATTAATAGAGGAAAAGGTTATAGATCATATAAAAGAAAAAAATCTCATAAGAGATCTTTTTTTATTTAGGAAAAATGAGTCAGACAATAACCATCATGCAAAATACTCCAATCTGTGCTATCATATTTGCCGTATGTGTTTTGGTTTGTGATGCGGTAAGAATATCTCCCGCAATACATCAAATCGTGCAAAACATGGAAAAAGCTAATTTTTTTTAGTTTGGTACTTTAGGTCACATTTGGTACTTAGGTCACGATGCTCTAGAGAACATTTATGGGCATTTGATCTTCTCCAGCTAGTTCATATAAGACCAACTACAGTTTTAGTTGAAAAAGAATACAACTAATGTCCTAGAGAAACAACCAAATTTTCCCTGGACTACAACACCAGCAACTAATGATCTATCAGAAAATGCTAATCAAACAAGGATTTTCACCTTGAGAAAGCTCAAAAATATCCTTGTCTACAGAAACTTACCATAGCTTTATTCAAGAACTTAGAAAAATCCAGAAAGGCAGAGAATTTAAATTTTCATTTTTGCACCCTCTCTTTTAATTCACCAAGATCTTGACTAATAGCACTCCTACAGGCTGACGATGCAGATAAAGGAACTGAAAGGCTAAAGAAGAGCCAGTAATCCAATTAGCAAGCCAAAATTTAACTAATCCATTAGACCCACATTTTATAAAATTTCCGACATGGTGTTCAATCTAATCTTAACAATTTATTTTTTCTTTCAATAGGGATGCATCCAGTCTACTCTTAATCTTACACCATTCATTATAACCCAGACCATAGATAGTCTTCTTCTCTGAAGTGTGATTGATGCCAAATATCTTAACCTGTGTTTCAAAAGTAAATGCATTGCAAGTCTCACACGGATCTATCTGTATTTCTGATATGTGCTTCATTGTTCCCATGAAGACTGATAATCAACTAAAATATTTTGCATAAGAGTACACATAAGTTTGTAACCTCCGAGTGACAAATCTGTCATTCCTCAGGACCTCTATTCTTCACTTTCAACTGGCACATAACACGCTTTATACTTCCCCGGACCAAATAAAAATCTCAAATCAGGATCTCTTCCAGAGTTCCAAGTTCTCTCACATATCTAGCTTAACTGTATTTTTCTGCATTGTCTAGTTTGATGTTGTATCGATGTCCTATGGATTCGTTGTTTGTTCACATTCACTTGCATTGAACTAGTCTTTTTCCCCCTGGGCACACAAAGAAATGAAGAACCTAATCCATTTATAAAAGAGTTTGACACTGGTTACAACCTATATAAACTCTAGATTCCCATCGACTTATCAAAATCTTTTCCTACTACTTGAGTCTATTTTCACTTTTTTATAGTTCTCCCATTTAGTTGAATTTCTTCAATACGTCAACTTGTAGTAAGGGAAGTCACACATTTGTGGAACAAGTAACATATATTTGAGGAAATTTGGCAGCACGCATTAAATCATAAGTGAAGTAACCATGTGACAATGCCATCTACGAGAATACTAGATTTTGCACTTGGATGAATAAAACTGAGCAAACTAATATCTAAATAGTGTTCCTGATGCTTTGTGCAGGTGGTGGCAAATGTTTCTAATAATCTTAGTAATCTACTCTGCTTGGGCATGCCCATTTGAGATAGCATTTCACAGGGCGTGGTCAGCCTACTTAGCGACTGTTGATCTTGTGGTGGATGTGTTCTTTGCTAGTGACATGGTGATGACTTTCTTTGTAGCTTACGTGGACCCTTCTACGTACCTCATCATTGATGACCGAAAGAAGATTGCCACTAGGTATATATGAATTTTTCTTCTAAATTGCTCACCTTCAGTTAATATCTTCCTAGTGTTCTCGGTAAATTTCAGGTATGCGACAAGTCCATGGTTTGTGATGGACTTGGCCTCCACTCTACCATTTCAAGTCATATATGACGTCATGCATGGCAAAGACCATAGTGGTAGTTTCTTCAGATATGTAGGACTCTTGAGGCTCTGGCGGCTTAGGCGAGTTAGCAATCTCTTTGCATGGTGAGGCTACTATTACTCAATGCTGGATCTAGCTAATATACCATCTTTAATGAAATAGAATTAGCAGATAGGCGACTCACAACAGAAGTGCCCCAGAACTCTAAATTCAAACAATTCCACTATGTAAGGAGGAAGAAAATGCAACAAAAAAAGGAGAAAATTCAAACTCAATAGCATGAATCTATTTTTATGGGTAGAAGTTACATCCAAGGGAATCCATGATATCAATTTTTTCAAAGTCAGGCATCAAAGTGAAGACAATAAAACCAACATCAGCTACAATATCATAACTTCATAAGCAACACAACGAGATAAAAAAGGATCTTTCCTGTGTTACATTCAATAAGAGGTGACTCCCTGGTATCAAAAGCCAACGCTTTTTAAACGTTTGTTGTCTATATAGGTTGGAGAAAGATATAAGGATCAGTTACTTCTTGACAAGATGTGTGAAGCTCATATCTGTAAGTATATAAATTCTGTCTTTTCTTTCTGAAACGAAAACCATTCTCATACTGCAAACAATAGAAAGTTTTGATCCAAAATACTCCAACAAAGGGGTATATATCAACAATGAATATTCAATTATGAAGTTTTATTTCAGGTAACACTGTTCACTGTACATTGTGTAGCATGCATAAATTACTTGATGGCAGTTAAATATAAAAGCAAAGACCATACCTGGCTTGGCCATGTGGTACCCAAGTTTGAAGACAGGAGCATCTGGCTGGGCTACATATATGCCATGTACTGGTCGATCACAACCCTCACCACCGTTGGCTATGGGGATATCTATGCTGCAAACACTGGAGAGAAGGTGTTTAACATATTGTACATGCTATTCAACATGGGCCTCAACTCCTATGTCATCGGGAACATGACAAACATCATAGTACATGGAGCTTCACGTGCAATCATCATGGTAACTCATCTTCACCTCATGATACTCGATAGCATGATAACATCCAAGGACAGGAACAGATATAGTTCAAACAAAATCTAACCATAATTTACTCAGGTATTCTATGCTTAATGGTTTCTGAAGAATAATGACCTTGATTGGATCATGTAGAGGGATACTATTCGTGAAGTTTCACGGTATGCAAACAAGAACAGGCTTTCGGAGGGACTGAGGGAACAAATAATGGCACATCAAGAACTCAAATTCAAGACCATGGAGTTGCAACAAGAAGAAGCAATTGTAAATCTACCCAAGGCAATAAGATCAAGCATAGCTATGCACCTATTCCAGCCTATTGTCGAGTCGACATACCTCTTCAAAGGGGTTCCCCGTGATTTCATGATGGAGTTGGTATTATTCATTAGATCTTAGTTTAAACAAAAATTTCGGTTTTATAAAGTGATTTGGTCGCTGTTTTGATATTTCTTTCTTTATTATTTGACCTTTCTCATTTGCTTCTCTCGCAGGTTTCTGAGATGAAAGCAGAACATTTTCCACCTAAAGCAAATATCATTCTTCAAAATGAGATACCTACAGACTTCTATATCATTGTTTCTGGGGAAGTGGTAATGCTGTTTTAGGCTCTACTGATAAATTATTTAAAACTGAGTTTAGTTTCTAACCCTCCCTACAAACTTGCAGGAAGTCCTGACAAATACCAATGGATCAGATAAGGTAACTCCTACTTCATTAATAGCCATGGACACAAATCAAGAGAGGCAAAAATTTCTCAAGTTTTTAGACTGTCCTCCTGATCCACATCTCTTGAAACATCGAGGAACCAAAAATATCAATGATATTCAGGAAGGAACTCATGGAGGCAAGATATTTTATACTTGCCTGATTCAACACTTTTTGGTTTACCAACATGCACTATCATTTAATTTAACTGGTTTCATTGTGCTGAATTGAATTGAAAGAAACAGTATAAATTATAATGAAAGTCCATGCATCATTTTGTGATATCAGCGGTGTTCTTATTGTGAGGAGACCAACTCTGTTTTTTATCTCATTTTTATAGGATTGGGTACCATTTTGCTTCATTAAAAACTTTTTTAGTGAAACATGGTAGTCTCTGTCTTTTCCAATCAAAACTACAAATCAAGTCCATACTGCAAAAAAGTAGATCCAGAAATATGTTTCAATGTTAAATTTCTAGAAAAGTTGCTAGCTGACACGCAACTCACATTGCTAGCTGCAAAAAAGTAGATCCAGAAATATGTTTCAAGATCGCCATAGAGTCATCTCCAATAAAAATCCAGAAAGGTAACAGATGAAGGGGTTAAGCGCAATACTAATCGTCTAGTACTACCAAGTTTCAATTTTCTTGCAAATGGAATATTTCCAACATCATCTGCAATATTAAGTTTATGTTCAACTATGACTCAGACAGCATAATGTCATGTCTTGGTAACAGTATTGACGAAAATTTAATTGTTGTATAATACTCAAATCTATTTCAAGCTAGCTCATGCTATAATGTTTCAGTTTTTGGAAAGACTAGGACAAGGTAAAATGGCAGGGGAGATTGGGGTGATGCTCAACATTCCACAGCCTTTCACAGTAAGGAGCAGAAGACTTTCTCAGGTTCTGCGAATTAGTCATCAGCATTTTGGCCAGATTTTGCAGACATATATAGAAGAAGGCCTGAGAATTGCCTCCAATTTTCTTGAGGTTTGAATCTAATTTGTAGAAATATAGAGCTTAAACATTATCTGCAGAGAGAAAGAGAGCAAAAAAATTATTATTCCCACAAACCCTAGCATCTCTTAAAGAGAGATTAGGAAGGTTACATAAACAGGTACGAATATTGACCCAAGTGCCCAAACACCAAAATAATTGAAGAATTAATAACATAGAACACTCTCCTTCAAGATGGAATATATTTATAGAACATGCCCAGCTTGTTAGACATAGAAACAAAACAACTAGGTGAAAACATTGTGGTGCCGAGGGTATTTGAAGACATTATCAGTTTATCTGCACTCTTTCTCTCGACATGATATCAAAGTAACCCACGTTCAAGTCCCAGTGGGCACATATTTAATAAGGACTTTTAGAAGATGAAACCTTCGCTTGAGTTCAGGTTCAGGCCCATGAATGGGGCACATTATAGTATAAAATTACAACACTCGACCCTCACCACCATTTTGGAGTTTTGGTGTAGTGGGAGGGATCTTTGAGAAAATGGTTAACCATGATGAAATAAAGATAGCTAAACAAAAATCCTTAAATTAAATAATTCCCACATATAATTGATTTAGGAAAAATGACTCCGGTGTTTTTTATGAAGTTGAGAGCAGTTAATAATGCAAAAGTTATTCATTGGTTGGCATGAATAAGTAGAATGAGGATTTAGGAATGTGATCGCTGAATTAAGGAAGGAGAACTACCCAAAATCCACTTTTGCGATCAAAATTTGGAAGCAAAAGCCTGCTTTCAGCAGATATGCACATGTTTTATTGAATTCAAGATAAACATTCATGTACTGTAATACCCCAACCCTTGAGAGAGTGATGTGATTAGTATTGATAGATTTGATTGGAATACTCATACCACCAAGATGTATCTTCTTTTCGGGAACCCAACTCTTAGAAACTCCAAAGTTAAGCGTGCTTGGCCTGGAGAAATTCTAGGATGGGTGACCCCCTGGGAAGTTTTTCAGGGAGCGCGTGAGTGAGGACAAAACGTGCTGAAAAGACATGTGGTGGTTTGTGAGGCCAATCCATCGGATCTAATAGCGTACCGACTCCGGGATTCCGGGGCGGGGCGTTACATGTACTGTCTTAGATATTAGGAATTTCTTTCAAATCTAAGTTGTGCATTGAAATTCACAAGTGTGTTAACCACCATATCCTATGGAACAAAGGGAATTGCTGTCAAATCATAAGATGGTACAAGTGTATTTCCATAGAACTCTATAACATATGTTAATGAAACGTTTCACAAGTGTTCTTTTGCATGCATAAAATGAAGTTCTGCAAATAAGTGATGTCATAAGAATTGAAAGTTTTGCTGCTGATTGTAAATGATGACAAAATGCTTACTCTATAATCCTTATTCTTCAATCTTCAGTTTCTGAAAGACCTTGAAGAACAAACTCTGGAGGAGTTACCATCTGTAGAGGAGCTATTGCATGACAGTGACAAGGTAGATCTTCTCTACTTGCCCTGAAACTTTTTCAGGCAGATTTATAACTGAATTAAGAAGTTACCTAAGATGTGAACACATCATTCCTCAAAAAAGACATAATCATATCTAACATTGAGGCGACAAACAAAAGATGGAAGATAGACACAAATATCATGTTGACTAGCACTATAACAAAACAAGTGAAGAATGCAATCAAGAATCCTAAGAATCCATGAACAATTCAAGGTATTTAGAGAGAACCAAGCTGTCTCAAGCTAATAGCTTCTGTGTATAACTGAGATTTTGTTAATAAATTACCCAACTATAAACGTGAAGGATAAATTTCCAAATCCTGGGAAACCATGAACAATCTATGGTGCTCCAGAGAGAATCAAGGTGTCTCTAGCTAATGCCTCCTGTACAGGAACTAAGATTTTGTCAATCAATTACCCAGCTTCTAAAGTGAGGTGGCAGAAGACTGAGTCACATAATGGGTATCGTTGTCATATGAGGGATTTTCTCGTGTAAAGTGGTGTGGCTGAATCTCAGTCAGCTAAACGAAGGGGCAGAGAAAATCCCTAATAACCAGACTTGGCTGAGATTCAGTCACATCATTGTACATGAGCGAATCCTCTCATATGACATGATTCTCATTAATCTCATACAAATATATGGATATACATACATCTATATACATATACTTGAACATATATGACCATAAAATATAACCCACCATTAATTTTTTACGAAAACATTGTTCCCTCAAACGACTATAGCATCCTTCAGAAAAGCTAGTATTGTAAAAGAAGATGAAATTGATTCTGGCAATATTTTACTTGTGTTTGTTACACTATTACCAGCTATAGCATCTAGTTTCATAATTTCTGATTTAAGAAATTGTTGATATAATCTATCTGTAACCACACATAGAGTGAACTAAGAGAAAGCAGGCAGGTATTATTCTAGAAATTGTTGTGTCCAGTAAGTCAAATGTTTCAAACTTAAAAATTATTTATACAGTTTTTCTTTAACCAAGCATGGGAATGACTATTAGTACAGAATTGTTGTCAGCCAAGCATGGAAATGAACTGACAAACAGGCAAGTGACTTAAAGACCAAAAACTAATTTAATTAAAAATAGAAATTGATGAAAAATAGTGTTACTAAGCAGATAGATGGCAAAGAATTAATCAAGAAGGTTAACTGCAACCATCATTTGTACCAAGATTCCAATCCTTGTCTGCAGCAAACAAACCAAATATAAAGTGCTGCTCTTACGGTGCTTAAATTTTCCACAAGTCGCTTTGTCTTTTAAGTATTAGCAGTTCGTCAAGCTACTTACTATCATTGTTCTGTATAGCATTCAAGACCAATGGAAGGAGTATATGTACAAGATTACCAGGTCTCGAGCTCAAGCAATGAGGGAACAGCTGATACACGAGGTTAATAAACTCAAGCCTAATGAATGCTTTAGTGCATGAATGAAGCTAAATTTGTCATCTGTTGTTTGGCTAAATTGAAGGATTGTGTGATTGCTGATTACTCACATATGGCTAACTTTATAGATTTTTGAAATAGAATATATCTTTTTAGAAGTATCAGAAAAGAATAATGATTTTGTCCTATGGGGTATCCATTACCTTGCAAGAAGGTAACTAAATATAATCGAATGATAAAAGTTATTGTCTTATGTGGTCTAAGAAATTAAAAAATGTTTTCTACAATTTAATATACATCAAATTCAAATTCAGAACAGCTGATATAGTCATGATTCAAGGGGTCAGGTCCAGTTGCTATTTTGGGTCAGATAGACAAACCATTGAAGGCTAGAATTATTGCATAACTTACTTTAAGAAAGTATAAGCATGAAACTTCTGGTATAAAAAAGTAAATAGTAGAGTGTCCCTAGGTACTAGTATCGATACCCACCCTCCTGCTTTTGTTGAGCAGGCAAATTGTCTTCCTTTTTCTCCAAAACTTGATAATTGGGCTTGTCCTCTTCATCTAACGTGTCATTAATCCTCTTTAATCCCTTGGCCTTCTTTTGAATGCTCTGGGGCTCTTCCAACTTTGCTTTATTTGCTCTTTTCTTCATAAACTTTTATTTCTTACAAAATTGATAAAAGAACTATATCAATGATTATTTGCATGAAAATTTAGATGAAAAGAGGCATAAAAGTGCAATAAAATATACAAACCTTTTTATTAGGTTAAAATTTCTCTAGGGAAAACTTATATACAAAAAACGAGAACACTGTGCCTCGTATGAGTAGATTCTCAAAAAAAGATTTGAAAACACATGTATGAATAAATATGAGTGGAAAGTGTAAACACACATAGATCTTGCCATTTCGAGAAATTCAATGTGTTGATTTCTTCAGCAATCTTATGCAACTGGTTATCCTCAGCATTCTCTATGAAATTCAAAGATATTTCACATTGAAAAAATTGGCCTTAGACAAAATTTCAAAGTTTGATTCATGCATAGAGAAGGGCCCCATACAATCAAAAGATCAAATAGATTTTGCTACAGATTACTTCAAAACCTGTTTTCTTCTATAACCTTGCAGGACCAGAAACTATTGGTGGACAAGTTTCAAGTAACTTAGCAAAGAGAGTAGTAATTCATGGTCATCATCCACATGAAGACAATAAAATAGAAGGCTCAGTATCGGGGAAACTCATCTCTCTACCTGATTCCCTTGAAGATCTCCTGGAAGTAGCAGGTAAAACAGTGCTTCAGCTTTCTCTCTGTCAAGTATATTATCATGACAGACTAAATCAGATTTCATTAGCTATTCACGATGTTTAAAAAGAAACATGTAACTAGATTACTGTTATATAGAGTATTAATTGCCAAGCGAGTATTGTCTTCTCACCAATTCGTCTTTCATGACCTGATGGTGAATCAACCTCAAAGTTTTGTTAAGTGTTTTGTTTGGGAGTTGCATAATTCTTAAGATAAAACTATAAACTATGCTACTTACTGAAGATTACAAATGAATAAGATATTCAGTAGATATAAATTGCACCAAATTTCACTCACCACGCAAAAAAAATCATTACTTATGGAGACTAAATTAATAGAGGACAAATGCATAGGATAAACCCTTAATATCTAACAGTAGACGAAGTTATTTTGTAAGAAAATATGCTCATAAGGAGGTATATACAATTCAAATAAATGATAAGAAGGTCATTAATGTTATTGTGGTTGAAATGGCAGAATAGGCGATCATATCTGACAAGATTTTTTTTACTGCAGAATCAGAGAAGGTTATTCATGTTACTTTCATATGGAGCTAACTGTAGGGTAATACGAATGTAATCAGTGTGGCTGATTCATCAGTTACTGGATAGAATATCTTAGCTAAATTTGTGTGGTTTTCTTCAAATTTTACAACGGACTTTAGAGTTAGAAGTGGTATTTCTTAGTATAACATGTTACAAACTCTATTTCAGTTCCAGTTACATAGGCTACTAATCTGAATTTTGTGGATTCAGAAAGAGAATTTAACAAAGCATCAAGAAGGATCTTCACTAAAGATGGAGCACAAGTAGAGGAGATACGTACAATAAGAGATAATGATCACTTGTTCATATGTTAAAAAGAGCATGGAAAGATTGTAACTCGAGAATAGCATGAATCTTCTTGTATACATTGGTACCAAACTATCCAGCATCATCGAATATCAAATGCAGAATCATGTATACGATTGTCCAGTGAAAAAGAAGATAATAAATTCAGTTTGAGGGATTGCTTCCCTTTTCTGAAAGTATGTTCATTATCAATATGCCTAAGAAAGCTCAAAGAAGCTAAGGCTTTTCGTTTCCAAATACGGCACCTCTCAATCGTATTTTCAGCTTGTGCTTTTGTTGTTAAAGAACCCTTCCACTGCACCAAAACTTCGGAGTTGTGATAAGGATTAAGGGTTATAGTTCTATATTCTAGCATGCCCCTATAGGTTGAGTGCCCTTTCTATGGGCCGAAACATGGATTCAGATAGCGGTATCTGTTTTTATAATGCCTTAAGATGCGTGGACGGTCGGAATTGGACCTGAGTTCCTTTGTTACCATGTCAAATAATCCTTGCACTGAACCAAAACTCTCTGACTTTTTGTAAGGACTGAAAGCTATAGTTTTATATCCTAACACTTGACTACACACATGATGCTGATAACTTCCCTTTTCAAGCAACATTTGCATAGTTCACATATTATAGATATAAATGTTTTATGTCTTGGCTCTAAAAGATTCATACTCGATACTCAACCCGATACCCAATTGCAAACGAACAAAGGCATGTCATATATTGAAACAACTACTTGAAACCACTTCGCCCTGTCCTTGATGACTTAAAATAAGTCTGCAAATTATGGATGCTTCCTGGAATTTTTCGTGAAGCCTATATGAGGGGCTGGAGATCAATTCTTTCAGAAATTGAAGGAACTAACACAGAACGTTAATTTCTAGAAACTATTGACATAAAAAAACGAGTAAAATCATGAAATTACAAAGGAAAAAAAAAATTTATGCCTTCAAACATTATCAAGTTACCTCTTGAGTGAGGAGCGGCGGCCGAGTTCAGGGTTCTCGTCCTTCATCAGAAGAGATTTCTGCATTGATCGTCCATTAATTTTTAATTTGGGTGTGAAAATATGGTAAATGCGTTGGGATTTGGATAATTTGGGTTTAGGGTTGATTTGCCTCGAGCATGGCATTTCATGAAAGGGTCCATTAACTTTTGCAATCTTATATGATGATTTATATTTTTGCTTCTCAATTTGATTAGCCCCCTCTATATTTGCTTCTTAATTTAATGCCATGGGCTAAGGCCTTCATTGCGCTGAAGAAGATTAATGTTACATTTCAAGCCCAAGTGGGTGGAAGACCAATTTTTCTTCTATCAGCTTAACGTTCTTTTAGAAAAATCTAGCAAAAAGAATCTTAACAATATTTCAAAAGATGAAAGGTAAAGAAACTATAATTTTCAAAACTTTCATTGGTGGTTTATGTAGTAGTGTGTTGATGTAAGAAGTTAAAGTTAAGTGGGAGGATTTGGGGTTGATTCAGAGGAACTTAGGGTCCCTTAATCTTCTTTAATGAGTGTTTTCTGAGTGGAAAAAAGTCACGACAAACACAAGCAACATGACAGATGATCAGAGTTGGGTTCTCCGATGGTTCCTCTGATGACTAGGTTAGTTGTGATCTCAAGGGGAGAAAAAATAATTCAATTCTCTTAAGTGTGCAGAATTTTGCGTTAGATAATGTACCTATTTATACAATTATACTAGATCTAGAAAGGCATTTGCGTAACTTTGGCCGAGTCCAGGCAGTCGGTTTGGTCAGTTGATACTTTACAGGTGTCTACAGTGGATGATCCGAGTGATCCTTATATTTATTGTGGCGGCGACAGAAGGGTTGTGGCATTAGCGTGGTCTGATGAGTCATTATGACTCTAGAGAATGTGCAATGATGGCTTTGATTATGCATTTAATGCGATAGTGACTAGCTGTCATCGCTAAGTTCGAGAGGGAACGACTTTCATCTCGTCCTTCGAGAGAGATCGAGAGAAGACGCCTTTCGTCTCAGGCTGCTGAACTAGGAAGCCTCGGATATCTGAGACGGCTCTATTAAGGACATCTTTCGTCTTGGCCCTTCTAAACAAGGTAGAGTGAAGATGTCTTTTAAGCTAGCCTTTATAAGACTAGGGTCAGATTGATATCTAGTTGATCAAGACACGTGTCGCTTTCTTTCATTGTTTTGTAAAGTATCAGCTGACCAGGCCGATTGCCTAGACTCTGTCAAAGTTACATAAATGCCCTTCTAGATCTAGTATAAATAGGCACGTTGTCTACTACATGATGGTACACAAATTTCCGCACACTTAGAGCCTGTTTGTTTGCACAGAAGTAACTGTGAAATAGCAGAAGTATAGGAAGTAGAGGGTACGTTTGCTACTTCTAGACAAAAATATATGTTTGTTTCTCTTGAAAATTTACTTTCGCTACTTACTTAAATAATGATGTGGACAACTCCATTTCCTTAATTTTTTTTTTGCCATCGAAGCTCTGAAATACGGCGGAAGTTATATAAGGTGGGATCCACCGGAAAAAAAACACTGGTGAAAACTAATGGGCTCACATTTTTGGGAATGCTCTCTCAATGTGGCACAATTGTTGCGTAGTTTGTTATTTCATATGCCATTAATATTGTCAATATTCTCATTTGTTCAATTTGTTTGTGATCCATTACAGATCCACAAAGACTTGAGTCGAATGAAGAGGTTCAATGCGCATGAAGCCCTGGAGTATGAGCCGATTGATCGGATCCTTAGACCAGCCAGAATCAAGGCTGATGCACCTCGCAAGGAAGTAGCAGGGACAGGCCTTGATTAAGTTTGTGTATATTTATGCTCCTGTTGCTGAAGCAGCAAATATCTCATTTTTTTAATGTCTTTTTATAGTTCTCAAGGACTAATGTTATTTGTAATTTACGGTGTGATTGTAACAGTTTTAATCTAATGTATCCAATAACAAGATTCTCATGAGATGATGCGCGGCGAGTTGAGAGTTCTTTTGTTCTTCTTTCATGGTTTTCCAGAGAGATGCAGATGTTTAAAGGTTATATTTGTTGAGCACTATTCACATGTTTTTCAAGTGAGAAAAAAGAAATTAATGTGAATAGTTTCTCCATATTTCTTTTCTCGTGTATGATTCTTATTCATCGTTCAAAAAATACTATATTTTTAAAATGGAAAGATTAATTTTATTATATATCTCCGCGTCATACCCCTTGATACGAAAATGGGAAAATTAATTTTATTATATATCAAGCAAATCAACTATGAATATTGGTCTCTTCAATTGATGGCAACAACAACTCTGTTTCTATTTCAATGACAATCTAAACAAGAATAAAATGGAAGCAACACGTATTAATTACTTCCTAGTAATATTTTTTAATATTATCCAAACAAAAACAGTAAATAAAGAGAAATGTTCTACTTCCATTACTTTTAAAAATATATAAAACAAACAAAAAAATGCTATTTTCGCTACTTCCTATTTCATAGTTTTGAAAGTTACTTCCATAACCTACTTCTTACTTCCAATACTTCCATTATCCAAACGGGCCCTTAAGAGAATTAAATTATTTTTTTCGCCCCTTGAGATCCCAACTAACTTGATCATCGGAGGAACCTTCGGAAAACCCAACTCCGATCCTCTAACATGTTGCTTGTGCGCAAGACTCTTTTCCATTCAGAAAACAACCATTAAAGAAGATTAAGGGAACCTAAGTTGCTCAAAATCAACCCCAAATTTACTATTTAACTTCTGACATCAACAAGTAGGTATACGGAAATACAAAAAATACTTCAAAACATGACTAAATAAAAAATTTGCAGTAGTTTACAAAAAAGCAGCATTGGAATTTCATTTTACTAACAAGTCCAAGGAACTCTAAGAGCATTTCTTAGTTCTCTAAGAAGCCAGGGTTTGAAATACTACATTTACAGCGAACAGGAGAATCTGTCATATAAAAAATTAACTTGTTTATTATTATCACAATCTTATTACGTAGCAGCACTCCTCTGTGGCACACGAAGATCTATTTGCAACAATTATTTTCCTATTGAAAACTTCACATAATACATCAACAATGCGAAGAGCTTCTAGGCCGCAAACTGCGCAAAATAGGAGACTGTTGAAACTTTCTCGTTAAAGCATTTAACTAACAACCACAAAAACTCCTCAAAATCTACGATAAGAGGCAAACCGCAAAATTATCACAACAAATAATCTCACTTTCACACCTATACGTCCCTCAAATGGACAGCCTTCGTCCTCAACCTCATCAATGGCGAGAACAAAAGATAACTCCGACGATGCCGACGACGGCGAAGCTCGGTCAAGCCCGCGCGGCGGTCGCCGCCGCGACCCCCGCCTCAAGGACATGGGCATCTCATGCATGCTTAACACAGAGGTGGGCTCCGTCCTCGCCGTGATCCGCAGGACCCCCGTCGACTTATCCTCCTCCGGCGCCGGTGGGGCCCCATCTTCCCCCCACGACATAGCCGACCTCCACAACTCCAACATAATAAACTCGCTGAAATCTCTTCGATCGCTGCTGTTCCACCCGTGTCATCCGGAGTGGAGGCTGACGAATCCGTCGGTGTATCTCGCGCCGTTTCTTGATGTGGTGCAGAGCGACGACGTACCAGCGTCGGCGACGGGGGTTGCTTCGGCGGTGTTGAAGATATTGAAGCTTGATGTGTTTGATGAGAGGACGCCGGGTGCGAGAGATGCGGTACATTCGGTTATTTTCGCGGTGACCAATTGTAGGCTTGAACGGACGGATCCGGCGTCCGAGGATGCTGTTATGATGCGGATCCTGCAGGTGACAGAAATTTCGCGTGTGTACATTTACATGGACAAAAAGTTTATTTTCTGTTATGAGAAATGAGTGCAATTGGGTACGGTGTGAATTATTTGCATTCGGTTAATTATGTTCGAGTAAAATCATATTGTTCAATAGCATAGATGGTTTCCATTTTTTTTTAATAACAACGCTTAGACCAAGCTCATGAACGCTATTATCCTAGGTCGACTCCATGATCTTCAAACGGAATTTATCTTTTCATATCGTATTCTTGATATGATGTCAATGTATTGCATAGAGATCCTTGGTGTCAGTATCTTACAAAAAGATCGTATTCTCTTATAAGTACATTTTACCATATAACTCGTACGTTTATATCGGTTGTTTGGACGTTTACCCTGGCCGGTTTCTGATACTGATCACGTACTCACAGGTATTGACAGGGGTGATGCGCACACGGGCGTCCCTCCTCCTGACCGACCACGCGGTCTGCACCATAATCAACACCTGCTTCCAACGTCTTCTCTCGCCTCCCTGAACTCCGCTCCGAAAACACCAGCGCCACCCACGACGAAGAATCCCTCTCGGGCTCCGACGCAGATGACGACCCAGTGGTCATCGGGTACGGAGCTCGATGCATGGTCGACGTATTCCACTTCCTATGCTCGCTGCTAAATGTGGGCGAGGTGGTTGATGATGGGGGAGGGGTGAGTTCGGATGAGGACGTGCAGGTGTTCGCGCTGGTGTTGATTAATTCGGCTATTGAGCTGGGAGGAGAAGGGATCGGCAAACATGGGAAGCTTCTGGGGATAATTCAGGATGATTTGTTTCATAATTTGATTCATTATGCGACGAGGTCCAGCCCATTGGTGCTGTCCATGATTTGCAGCACGGTTCTCAATCTCTACCAATTTCTTCGCAGGTATATTGTTTGCTGAAGTTGAATTCCTTCGTTCTTTGATTTGAAAAGTAATGATTTCTTGCCTTTAAGCTTTTTATAACCACTTAGACAACCTGATAGTTACATGGAGTTATATTTTCGTTATCTTCATGTGATGTCTAGTTGCTTTCCTGAAAATATCATGTTTTTTTCTTCTTTGATGAATTTAGTTGTTTACAGGTCGCTGAGGCTCCAACTAGAAGCATTCTTCACCTACGTCCTCCTCAAGATTGCATCCGGCAGCAGCGGCCTCCACCTCCAAGAAGTCGCCGTCGAAGGCATCCTTGGCTTCTGTCGTCAACCCACCTTCATCATTGAAGCCTATGTCAACTACGACTGTGACCCCCTCCATTACAATGTCTTCGAAGAGCTCGGTAAACTCCTTTGCAAGACCGCCTTCCCCCTCTCCGCCCCGATGTCCCCCATGCAAATTCAAGCCTTCGAAGGCCTCGTCACCATCATCCGTAACATCGCCGATGGTGTCGAAACCGATAAAATCCCCGTAAAAGACTCCTACGACCTCGACATATCGGAGTTCAAGCCTTTCTGGACAGAGCGCTGCGATACATACCATGAGAACACAGAGTCATGGGTTGATTTCGTTCGGATGAGGAAGCTCAAGAAGAAGAAGATTATGGTGGCCGCGAACCATTATAACCGAGATGAGAAGAAAGGGCTCGATTATTTGAAGATATGTCAGCTTGTTCCGACTCCGCCCGATCCGAAATCGCTGGCCTACTTCTTTCGCTACACGCCTGGGCTCGACAAGAAAAAAATTGGAGACTACTTGGGCGATCCTGACGAGTTGAACCTCAAAGTGTTAGCTCAGTTCACAAGTACTTTCGACTTCTCCGGTGTGACATTAGACACTGCACTGCGAACATATCTTGAATCTTTTCGGTTGCCTGGTGAATCTCAGAAGATTCAGAGAATACTTGAGGCGTTTTCTGACCAATATTATAAGCAACAAAGTTCGGATATATTCGCCAGTAATGATGCGGTGAATATACTTTGCTACTCGGTTATTATGCTCAATACCGATCAGCACAATCCGCAGGTTAAGAAGAAGATGACCGAGGAGGAGTTTATTAGAAATAATCGATCGATCAATGGAGGGAATGATCTTCCGAGGGAGTACCTCTCGTCACTCTTCAACTCGATTGCCACAAAAGCGATCGCTGTCTTGGTTGAAAGCACCGGAGCAGTTCTAGAGCTCAATGCAAATCGATGGGCTGATCTTGTTAAAAGAGCCAGAGCTTCAGAGCCCTTCATCGTTTGTGATTACAAGCACAAGCTTAGTAGAGAGGTTTTTGTTACGATTTCAGGCCCATCCGTCGCGACTTTATCTGCAATCTTTGAGCAGACCGATGATGAAGACATATTAAATGAGTGTGTCGATGGGATGATATCAGCAGCGAGGATTGCAAGGTACGGGTTGGAAGATATTCTTGATGAGCTCCTCTGTTGCTTCTGTAAATTCACGACGCTGTTGAATCCTTACGCGACGGCGGAGGAGACGCTATTTACTTTCACCAACGAGATGAAGCCAAAGATGGCGACACTGGCCGTGTTCACAATCGCAAATAAATTCGGCGACGCAATTCGTGGGTCATGGAAGAATTTGATAGACTGTTTGCTCAAGCTGAAGAGGCTGAGATTGCTGCCTCAGTCTTTGGTCGAGCCAGAAAATGCATCGAAGCAAGAACCGGAAATCAACAGTTCGCATATCAAGACTGAATCTGGAGTTATTTTTCCTTCATCCCAGTTTGGGGCCGGAGGCAATAATCGTAACGCGTCAGGTTTAATGGGAAAATTCTCGCAGTTTCTGTCGATGGATAATGGTCAAGAATCGATGTTGAATGTCGGTAGTGAGTTTGAAAACAACCTCAAAATCATACAGCAGTGCAGAATAGGGAGTATCTTCACTGAGTGCTCCAAGCTCCCTGATGAATCATTACAAAATCTTGGCCGGTCGCTGATCTTTGCGGCTGGAGGCAAAGGACAGAAGTTCAGCACGTCTGTCGAAGAGGAGGAGACCGTCGGATTCTGCTGGGATCTCATTACCTGCATCACCTCCGCCAACCTTCATCGCTTCTCGACATTCTGGCCTCAATTCCATGAATGTCTCGGTATTGTATCCCAGTTCCCCCTGTTTTCTCCATGCCCTTTTGCTGAAAAGGCAATCATCGCCTTCTTCAAGATCGCTGTCAAGCTCCTCTCATCTTCCACCGCTCATTTTGACAAAACCCCCGAAGACCTCATCTTTAAGACGATAAACGCCACATGGAAACTCGATAAGGACATACTCGACACATGTTGCTGTGACATAGCTGACTCGACGACGGAGATCCTGAACGACCACGTGATGAACGTACAAACGATGATAGGGTGGAAAACTCTCTTGCATATGCTCTCAATCACCGGACGACATCCCGAGACCTTCGATCAAGGCGTGGAGTCCCTCGTAAAGCTGATGAGCAACGGGACCCACGTCACCCGATTCAACTACCCGTTCTGCATCGAGACAGCGTTCGGGTTTGCCGCACTGAAGATAATCCCGCTCGAAACGAGCTTCAAGATTCTTGATCTAATGGCAGGTTCGGTTAGCTGGCTGATACAATGGCACAAGTCAGGTTACTCCCTCGCAGCGAACCTATTCCTAAAACTAGCCGAAGCACTCAGAAAGACAAGCCTGGTTCGGCGAGAGGAGATACGGAACCAAGCGGTGCAAGCTCTCAGGCGCTGTTTCCAGGGGACGGAGGAGCTGGAGTTCACTCCGGCAAACTGTCTGGCGTGCTTCAACCTGGTGATATTCGCATTGGTGGACGATTTGCATGAGAAAATGCTGGAGTATTCGAGAAGGGAGAACTCAGTTAAGGAGATGAGGAGCATGGAGGTGACGCTGATTGAGGCTATGGGGTTGTTGGTCGAGGTTTATCTTCAGTTTATGGTGTCATTGTCGCAGAGCCCAGGGTTCAGGACGTTCTGGCTCGGGGTGCTGAGGAGGATGGACACATGCATGAAGGCGAACATGGATGAGGCAGGGTATGGGCCGCTGCAGGAGGCGGTGCCGAGGTTGTTGAAGAAGATGCTGGTGCAGATGAAGGAGAAGGAGATACTTGTGCAGAGGGATGGGGATGAGTTGTGGGATATTACTAACATTCAGATACAGTGGATTGCTCCTCAAGTAAAAGAGGAGTTGTTTCCTGATGTGTTTTGATCTTGTTAAGTTAGCAATCCAGCTTGCTCCAACCAGTGTTTCATTGAAATATGCAAACTACACCAAATGAAACTTACAGTGCAAATTGAATCTCAAGCGCTCGAAGGTGCAGCATTCAAGAAAGAACAAAAAACTAACGCTGCCCTACAATCCAACTGCTGACGCTGTACATAAAACTTTACCTAGGAGCAGATAAGATCCCCAGAACCTACAACCTGTTTGCTTCGAAAATGTGCAAGAAGTCCAGGCGTCTTTGCAGCTTTTGTTGCAGGATTTACGGAGCTGAGGACTGTTCGGTTTTGGTTGAAACTGAAAGGAGAGTAATTTAACTCAAACATCACAAGTGTACACTACACATCAATCAACGGAGCCCTGTCACAGATTAAAGCCGTCAGCCCAGTCGAAGGATAATTCATAAATAATCATACTTGTGTTATTTCAGAAAATATCATGAAGTGTCCACAACTGTGTCGTTTCAGAAACAGGCTTGGCATTGCCGCTAAGTCAGATTTTGAATTCATAAAGTCGCCATAGTTTTCTTATTCAGAAACAAATACAATATGATACGGAAGTCAACGGATCGTACATACACACTAATAAGTTACATCCCTACCGGCAAGTTTGCCTTCTTGAATCTCTGGCATCACATTCGGTTACATTATTGCACTAGCCAATGTCACATACGGTTTCTTCTTGGATACATATACTTCAGAGAGCTACTCCTAGCAGCTGGCAGACACAATGAATGCGCGTGACCAGATCCTGAGCTTAGAATGCCAAGTGAGATAAATATGATGCTCTAGGGACAAATCTGCAAAAAAAGATGGATTCACATAATCAGAACCTAATAGCCCGCGGAGTGCCGCAGATGAACGAGTCCGCAATACAAGGCTCCACAACGTTTATGTACTATTTGGAAACTATTTATTTCGATATCATACTCTCGCGAGATGCTATAAATAGCTGATAAGAAAGCCCAATGGAAATTGCAGTGCTGATTGCTCCAGTAGCTTTAAGCTACGTAAAATCCTAACCGAGTTGTATAAAATAGCATGCAATCATCCATAAAGAAATCCAAGCAAATAATAAATTTCAAGTGACAGCTCATCAGCACTTTAATATGCATGCCTCCAAAGTTTCATTAGAACTAAAGACTAATAAGTTCAAGGTCAAAGCAGATAAGCTCGTATGGTCATAGTAAAAAGGAAGCAAAGCAAGGTTGCTTTCGTATAAATAATTACTCAACTCATCAGCATCACCTAAAAATTTGGAGCATCGTATTACCGTTAGGTTAAGACAATTGCAACACTTAGAAGAATTCTTTTAACATGTAATTCAATCCCTTACTATATAAACATAGTTATTTGGCAATTTTACATTATTCATCACACTGCAAGTACAGAACCAATATCCAGGAGAACAAAACCTTGCATAGGCATCATAAAATAAGTAGATCCAGTTGATATACACAGCTGAGCAGAACTCAAAGAGGCTGTTAGTATCATGCAAACCATGCAACTACCCCAGGATTTGCATGCCTACCACATATGTTAAATGTATTACATAATCATATGTTCCACCCTTACAAAAAATTGAAACAGAAATTTGTAATTCATAAATTAAGTACACCGATATATGAAGATACAAAGTTGCCAAGGCAAACAAACTTCCAAGAGAATTGTCCAGTTCCTGAATAGAAAGTTGGATTGCTGTCCACAAGATTTGACATGCATCATAGAGCTAAACTAATGCTTCAATAAAAGATATTTATAATGATTTAGCCATGGTAGGAAAATGATGAAGGAAGAGAATAGGGTAAAAGTAGTTCCCTGTAGGAGCCCTCCAAATCACAAATATATTTCATAATTTTCATTCATCAAGTAGCCACAGAATGGATAACGTAGCAAAATGGATAGTGTAATACTATCTTCCCATATAAAGTGAGAATAATGCTTCATCAAAGAAATTCAGAATGATCTAGCCATCTGTAGGACATATGATGTAGGAACCCAACAGCGTAAAAAGTAGTTGCGGGTCTTTCAAAATGTAAATATATTTATCAAGTTGCGACAGAATGGACAGTGTAGTAATGTTTTCTCATATTAAGAATTCAAACTAACAAACCAAATAGAAAAGAAGACAATGATGTAAGTGCAAAATGAATAACTCCGGAACCTCTAGTATCATTTCCAAGCTATAAATTTGAAGAATGAGACCATATGGTAGCGCTCAAATTAACAAGCACTGAGCAAAAGGATGGGTATGATTGGGAATCTGGGAGTATATTAAAATAGTGAAAGCGTGAAACGAGGAGAAAAAAATCTCATGAGAGAACTTAAGGTATGCCCCACCCCCAACCCATCCACCCACACACACAAGTACATTTTCTTCATCAATGAGCAACTAAAGTTTTAAGGTTTGCTTGCTGTCTTCTTGTTACTTGTTGGATTGTGCACAATACATCTGAAGTAGCAAATTTTATCAGCCGAACTACCAAATAACTTAAGATTTTCTCTATGGCATGGCCAATAAAGACTTGCTGGATTGCACTTCCACAAGTTCTCTTTTGAACATTTTCCTATGAACCATGCCACTATGGATTTTGCTGATAAATGACAATTCAAAATAACACATATCAATAAAACTATTTAGTCAATCAATAAGCACGATACTAATGTCCTTTCCGCTAAAAGGTAACATAGTGTAATTCTAAGAAAGAATTAAAGAAAGAAGGTGATGACTATATAAATAATACTACCTCAGGCACTCCTATTTCAGTACAAACATCAATCTCAGTATTATCATCAGTTAATCAAATTAAAAGGTAGGATACTAGCAACTATATCTACAGTTTCATTTCTCTTTTAATATCGTCCAAACTGAAGAACTTTTCACAGTATAATTACCAAGTACAAAGAAGAGAACAACCATTGTTCAGGCCCAACATGTAGACTAGTCTAATAGCTAGGGAGACTAGTCTAATAGCATTTCAATAACTCTTTTCTAATATGGTTATCCATCTTCTGAATATGGGTTTCTCGTACAATATTCAAATCAAACCAAAAAATGGTCTGATAAAAACTCAACCCAACATGTAGTGATAAAATTTGCAAAAAACTAGCAAAAGCAACTCACTTATAGGCAATAATCACAGTATAATTAAGAATGCAGAAAATTAGAACAACATAATGATAAATCATACTACCTTAGCCGCTCAAATTTCCAGCCGACGCATCAATCTCATCATCATCACCATCACTATCCTCGGTCATCCTTTCTTCCTCATCCTCCCCTTGTTCCTGCCTAATCCTCACAATCTCCGCCTGCGCCCTCTCCAATATCTGCCTCTTCTGAACCTCCAAATCCCGATGAAACTCCTTCCTCATTCTCTCCAGCTCCACCATTTGCTGCCTCTTACTGTTCTCAATCTTTTCATAAACCTCGCCAAACTTTTGTATCGACTCCGCCAACATTCTAAACGACGAATTTGGTAACGCCTTCGACTGCACTTTCTTCTTCTCGCTCATCATCGGAGGGAGCCCATCTGATTCATCATCACTATCAGTTCCAGTATCACCCGGACTATCTCTCATCTCATCAGTCGCATTCGCTCGGTTCAAATAAACCCTAGAATTTGGAAACACATACTCCCCAGCATCGACCCCACACGCCAACCCCCGCGGTGACCTCTTCGTTGCAGGTGCTGGCACTGGCGTCGATGTAGATGGCATCAAAGAATCCATCTTTTCGAAGTAAACCCAATCACTCTTAAAATTCACGATCTCTGTCATCCTAGCTTTCTCCTTCTTATATTTCTTCTTCAGAGTGTCCAATCGATTCCTGCACTGAGAATCGGATCTAGTGATTCTCGAAGCCTGGTTGACTTTCTTAGCGACCTCGCTCCACTCATCAGATCTAAGCGATTTACTTCCATTTTTTACAAAAAGATCGCCCCAAGCGTCTAGAAGAATAAAGGTTGATTCTTCCGACCAATCCGGGGGCGAATTCTTAACAGCAGGTTTCGAATTTGCGACGATCGGCGGCGGTTTTCGAGGGACGAACTCGAAATTATCGAGCTTTCTCCGCTTTCCTCTACTCTCGAGGGATGAATTGTCTTCGTCGTTGTCGTTGTCATCGACTGGCTCCTCGTCTTCGCGCTGCTCCACGTAATGGTGAGGTTGGTAATGGACTGAATTGTTCGTGTCGGCGTTGTGATCGTTGTTGATTCCGTCCGAATTTGATTCGGACTCGTAGTCGTCGTCTTGATCGGCAAAATTTCGAGAGAATTGGGGCTGGTTCGGGATTGGGGGATGTCGATGGTGGGGATTCGAGGGGTAGGTGCTGGGGGGATAGCGAGCGTCATCTTCGACGTC